CAAACACTCACTGGTTATCCCTGAGTTCCCTGATTGGTCAGACGTGTCATCCAAGGGTAAAATCGATTAGGTAGATAACCAATCAAACACTAGGGCAGGGACGATTACAGCTAAAACAGTGGTAGCTGCAATCGGATCGGATTCAGGTGATTGTACGCCCATGAGCCCATGGCAGCTTGCACGGGATACACGTGCGCACCAGAGACAGCAAACGACCAAACCAACGAATGACACGGAGCAGGTGAGAGAGTGAAAAAAGGACGGGAGTTAGCGGAGCAACTGAAACATTTGTTAAACCTGTCCTTTATTTAATGCAAGAATGCGTTACATAGTAATTGTAATTTCAACTGAGTTTAATTGATGAGCGAACTAACACCACGTCGTCGTGTGGTTTGTAGGAACCAAAGAAAAACACGACAAGTAGAATTGTACCGTTTTTATTCTGGAATTTGAAAAAGTTCGTTTTATTTTGATCCATAAATACATGGTTGTTGGGAATTATTTTAAAATGTTCAAGGATATATTTAAAAAAAGAATAGATAACTTGGTTGCACTATTTCATTCAGAGACAGACAGACATGAGGGATCATGATTAGCAGAGCATCAAATCTTTGGATCAGGAAATAAACCAAAGTGCGTCGTCGAATTTTCGTAATAGGGTCGCTTTTGAATATGTTTCCTGGTTAGGCTTTATCTTATATTAGAGTTCCGAAAGATGTTTTACTGTTTGTGGGATTAAAAATGCATCGATTATAGTCAGGCGTAGCCCCTTGGCGGTTGTACCAGCTACTGTGAAATATACTAGACGTATGCCCCTTCCTGTTCAGTCCTTTTGCAATGTCGTGTGCATATCTTCATTTTATACAAAAACCTCATATTCACACGAGAGGTTTTTCAATCAGATTTATTTCACTGCTATAATCGGTGATTACAATTCACGATTACCTGATAGAACTGGTTCATGTCACATACATATCGTAAATTGTATAGGAGGTCAAGTGCAAAGTAAATGGATTTTGACAATCAATCAAGTGATCTGTATTACATACACCAACCAGATAGGAGGAAGCCATGTATGCATCCAACAACAGCGTTCCACTCAAGGGGTCTGTGACAAGTTACTACACTTGTACGTGGCCACGTGACTGAAGGTATGATTACGACCTAGGTTGATCGAACCTGTACATTCTCGCTACACGGATTTGAATTTTTCACCTGTGTGATATAAGAATACTGTTATTACCCATTCATCATTTTGTTCTATTTCCCCCCAGCTGGATGACCGTAAGAATTTCAAAGTATGTAAATATCTCTGCGATATGACATTTAAATTGTATTTAATTTTTAATTTGTTTGGTACCGGATAACCATCCACGTCCTACCTGACCCGATATATCGTAAACTGCTAATTTGCGACTTCAAACTGATGTTACCACCAAAATTAATGTGTCACTGTTGAAACCATGGAATGAAAACTAATTGCCTTGCGAAAATGTACAACCTCAGATGCGGACAATGGACACCCGAAAGCCCGTTTCATGTTGGTGAATCACCTATCCGAACTACTAGTCATTCTATTGCAACGATATTAGACAAAACAGCACTCCGGTTGTCGTGGCAACAAGGAGTTGTTTCAGTTTTATGCAAAGGTGGTTGCTTTAGTACTACCTCTAACTACCTAGCCGTAACCTTCCTTCCAGTGCTATCGAAAGTCATGGAGTCCATCATGGAACACTTAGAAATATGTAACATTCTTCCGCTAGCTCAAAACGCGTTCAGACAAAAGTGATGCTATTCCACCAAATTCCTTGTTCTAGCTGAATGGACTGTAACAGTCGATGAAGGGGATGTGGTAGATGTGATTTATTTGAACTTCTCAAAAACACTTTATTGGGTAAACCACAATTTTGCTGCAGAAGCTTTACAATTAAAGTATCAAACAGTTCGTGCTTGACTGGATTAGAGAATTTCTCCAACAACGGTACATATCAGTTCGTGATTCTGACTTCCGGTATGGTTCTATTAACGTTATCTGTGGGGTTCCACAAGGGTCTGTACTTGGTCCCCAACTTTTCCTCTCATTCACAAATGTTCTAGAGCCAAGGACAAAATATGGAAACCGTAACAGAAACCGAGGGCTAGCGATCACTTCAAGAGACACTTAACACTGCTTACAAATAGTCTATGGAGAACGACATTGAATTTACTGTTTATAAGCACCAAGTCCTATCCCTACAACACACTATTAGATTCCCTTATTTCCTTGAAAATGAACAACTGATACACCTCAAGTAAGAATAACCTGGGTATAATTGTTGAAGAAGACTTAAACCACTTGATAAACTGTGCCAGGGCTTCGTCCGCAGCTGGGAAAAATGTCGGCCAGATTAGGTGTCTTTGGTTGGTATGAGCAAGCATTGCTTTCTCGTTTGCTATCAGTGTACGTACAATCGACCGTATATAAAGTATGCCATCCAAGCCTGAAGCCCATTGCTGCAAAGAAATCGTATAAGCTGGAGCGTTCACGATCACCATCAAGGTGGTCAAGGAATTGTATTACCTCACCTGCTGGGGAAGATTACAATGATTAGGACTATTTTCTACTCAGTACCGCTGAATTCGAGGGGACTTGATTTTGGTGTATTAAATATTGCGAACCCAAATCATCCATGTCGTCCGCTGCGAACGTTGTCGTTCGACCTTTACATTAGGGGACCTCGTTCCAAGTTACTGATTCCAAAGTGTCGACTGGAATGCCGACTTCAATATTTTGCAATCAGAGTGTGCATCACTTGGAACGTCCCGTTTCACGTCATTTGTCTGCCAGTTATTGAATCTTTCAAGCAGAAAATTGATGGATCTGTGGCACACCTCAAACTCCTACATAACGAAAATAAATTAGTTGAAGACTGTGTGATCGTGAACTGGCAGAAACTGCCATCGTCAAACGTTTCACTGATTTTTTCAATACCTCCGATGACCCTCTTCATTGTACTTATAAATCAACCAGGTCCACTTTGGACGCTGTAGCTCCCTCTTATTCG